AAATTCTAAACCTTAAACCGGCATCGTCTGGGGCAGTTCGGAGTCTCGTGTGCGATGGTGTCGTAAAGTTGCACCGAGAGCCTGGAAAGCACCGTCGAGACTCGTGGAAACTGCGCCTTAAACTGTGGAAGCCGTGCCGAGAGCCCCAAAAGCCCCTCCGAGAGCGTTGCAAGCTAGCGTCTGGCGCAGTTGGGAGTCTGGTGTGCGACTGTCTCGTAAAGCTGCGCCGAGCCTGGAAAGCACCGTCGAAAGTCGCGGAAACTGCACTTGAAACTGTGGAAGCCGTGCCGAGAGCCCCAGGAGCCGTTCCGAGAGTGCCATGCAATGCGTGCTTTGTATAAGCGTTTGTGTTCAGAAGCGATCTGCTGCTCTCTTAAATCTTTTTCGTTCCGTGTGTGTAAAGACTCAGAAGCCGAATTCTAAGAAATTCTGGCCAATTCTTAGGTCTTGCAAGGTCTGAGTGAGCTTGTTGGCGGATCGGCAGCATTATTGTGTGAGCGAGAAACCAGCTCGATTCAGCAAGTGATCCTTGCCTGCTCGGTGATCGGATCATCAGCTTCGTGATTTTCCGTTACCCTTCTATTTCTTTTACCAACAGGCTGCGCAGCATGGCAGTGGTCTTCCAGCTTCCGAAGAAACAGATGCTGCTGTGTTGTCGGCAGCTATGAGAGCACAGGCACGTATGCAAGTGCAAGGACGGAGGATCATTGAAAGGCTCCGTCAAAGATGCTTTGCCAGCCGAGCTAGAGCTCCACAGTTTCACTATACAATTCATCCGATGTTCATGCAGAATCAGTCTGTCTTCGTACCAGTTACAACTTTGTCTCCGGCGATGCCTCACCTACTTGTCATTGCAGCTGTGTGCAAGTCGTGGCTTGCTGCGGTTGCGAATTTCATGCATGACAAGTACATGATTGACTTCCGTGGACTTATGCGCACTTCCCACCAGCGGCATTACGATCCACGGAACCAATGAAGATCGATTTCGATTTCGAGCTGAGGTGTGGTCGGATGTTCGTGTGGTCGCAATTCGTAGCCCGCTTCCGACAGTACCGTAGATTCAAACGAAGGATTTTTGGAGACTTGAGGCTGACATAAAAATCCGAGCTGGAAGTCGGGTTAACTCGTCCGTTAGGACGGGTGATGAATGAGGGCGGGTCAGAGAAGCTGCATCCCTCAGGATGCAGAGAGTGATTTAGCTTCGGGAGTGTAGAATCGGCACTTGCGAGTTGGATCGCATCTCCAATCTCCTCAAGCCGAATGAGCCAAACTTCCCGTAAAGGTTCAACTTTAAAAGAAGCCCCCCAAACCGGCATCTAAAGCCCACACGTTATTTTCCCAACCCTGCTGAGACACCTGCCGACGCTTAGGGTTTAATCGTCGAGCATTCGTGCTGCTCGGGATTGGAGAGCGAGCACGTTTGACAGTCAATCCTGGATCTATGTAAAATCAACCCTAGGCACACCCATGTTCAAGAGAAAAGTAGCTACGGCCCATGAGAAGGGACAGTCCGCGATCTGTGACAATTTGGTCACCTACTGGTTAATAGGTGGCTTGGCCCGGGGAGTTTACCTCTTTCAGTTCTGGGCCATCCTCGGCCCATGCTTGGAGGGTCGGGGTAAGCAGTTAGAAACCTCAAGTAGGACATCTGTTAGGGTACTTGATCAATTTGCGCCGGCGATGGTGGGCGCGTCGCACAAGCTGAAGCGGCAGCAGCGGCCAAAAGCAAGAGCAGCCAGAGGAGAGGCCGTGGATCCTGTGCCTCAGATGTTGGGAGCTGAGCGGGCACCAGGGCCAAAGGGCCCGCAAAGGGGACGGCTGGCCAAGAGTGACTGTGCAGTGAAGATCTGATTGTCAGTTCTGCGGACAAACAGATTGGTGTCGATGCATGCTATGTCTTGCAGCTCTCCCGATCGATCATGTGCTGGTAGATCGCCATGCGTCCGGCTTGCAATGTTGGCACACAGCGGGCAAATCAAATTTCCACTGGACCCCTTGAAGTCGTACGTAGACTTCAAGGCTGCTTCGTCTGCAACGACAGTATGCAAACGAGCGAAAAACATCACCCGATCCCCGCCTGGCATGTTCAGCAAACAGCCGGACTGGAGGTTCCGGAACGATTCCGAGGAGATCAGATTGAACCACAGGTTCTCCTGACAGTGACCTTCGGCATCGAACTCCAGGAAGCTCATATAATACTCTTGCACCTTGCGGGTATTGCTGGCCTTCAGCTGATTGCCTGGGCTGATCTCGTCGTTGTACAAGGCAATCCTCCATGGAGTGGATGCAGTACAGGGGTATTTTGCCAGCTGCCGTTGGAAGAAAGCAGCCATACCCGGCACGGAGTTGCAGAGCTGCCACAAGAATGCCATCGGCAACTCTGTGGGCACCGTCTCCATCTGCTCGTTTCCCCCTGCTGCAGGTTGGCTCTTCACCTGTACAGGCACTGTGATGTTGGCCACCAAAGCGCCATGGGGAGTCTCTGCCTCCAGCTCCGACCCTCGCGCCCTTTTGATTCCTCGCCGGGAGGCTGAGTCAACGACTTCGGGGCATGCCGCCACTTCCTTCAGCACTGCCTCCAGTGCAGTCTGGCTCACATAGTGCTTTCTGCCGATGGTAGCTAGCGACATGGGTAAGATGGCTGCCCGCGAGCAAAATGCCCTGCAGGCACCGGATATTTGTAGTAACAAGTCTTACAGTATATATGTTTGTGTATACTACAGGTGTCAACCTGTCTATAAATCCTTGTCCCCACGAAACCTTCTTCAACACAACAAAAATCTCTGAATGCACATGTGATACAGTGTATGCACACGATCTACAACTAATTTCTTATAACGACTGGGCTATCTATCAATATAACATACACACACACATATCTATATATATATATATATTGTGTGTAAATATGTATAATATATATATATATAGGATATAGAAACTTGCAATGCAGCATCAGACCAATCTTCAAGCCGACCACTCAGGTTTACATGCTGCCTGGCAAGACACACACATGCAGCAGAAGGGGCAACATGATGTGCATAAGTGCATGCCTGCATGATGATCTTTTCCTCCTTTGTGCTGCAGTCGACGAGTTCCCCACGAGACGGTCATTTGCATCGGGAAAGCAGCTACTTGCAAAAGCAGCTGGGCCTACAGCCAGGTGCGAATCTGCACTTGCTGTAACCATGAGGTCGAAGGCTCACCCGTTTCTTCATGGAAAGATTGGCATAGTATTCTCTGCTACCGGCCGGGGCGGCTTTGGCCTTTGCACTGGCCTTGGCACTGGCCTTTGCACTTGCCTTTGCAGCAGCCTTGCAACTGCCTGCCTTTGCTTTGGCATGGGCTTTGGCCTTTGCCTTGGGCAAAGCTGTGCCTGCAGGCTTCTTAAGAATCCCCTTCTTCTTGTTGACTGCAACGAGCCCAGCCTGCCTCAACACTTCTGCCTCGTCGGCCTCGTTGTTTTCAGCATCACTCATCTCCAACTGCACTGCCGGCGAGACACCAGATGATGCATTCGTTGCCTTCACAAGTGCTGTTTGCTGGACCGATGCAGATGCCCTTGCAGGTGCCTGCTGGGTTGCTGCTGCAGGTGCCTGGGTTCCTGCTGCAGGCCCCTGGCCCATGGTGGTTGCCCCCGCTTGGCCTCCACCCACTGGTTCTGCCTTCGATTCATTTGCCACTGTGGCGGGCTACCGAGTGCCAAGTACTGCATGTTCGGGATCCGGTGCTGCTGCTGCTGCTGCTGCTGCTGTGCTCCATGAACCTCTGCATCATGTTGTTCATGGTGTTCATCATACCCATCATCGTCATCCCGGGCTGCGTGCCTTTGCATGCCCATGTTGAACTGATGCATGTTCATGGGGTTGTTGTTGCCACTTGCACACTGTGCAGGCCAGCTCTGCATGGCACCGGCACCCATCATGGGCATGTTTCCACGAAGCTTCTTCGAGCTCCCTCTCAACACGATGCCAGTTGATGCTGCCTGCACCCTGTCGGGAGACTGCATCTGCGCAGTGCAGGCAGGATCCTCTTGAGAGTATGCATCGGCGAGCTCAGGGGGCAGAAGGTCTGGCGATGCTGGATAATGCTCGAGGTGAACGCCATTCTTGGTCAAGCCTTTTCCTGTGCTTTTGAGCTTTTTCTTGAACAACTGCTTGTTGGAATAGCTCTCAACCGCCCCCACATCACCGCCTGCCCTGGCCAAGCCAGCTGCCAAGATCGCTTTGCAGCAAGACTCAGATGGGCAGGTGAGCCTCAGCTTGATGCACCGGCGTGCCAAGACATCCAACTTCACGTGGATGTTGTCACCAGCTTCCAAAGCCTGGATATCTTTGACCGACAGGTAAGGTTCGAAAGCATCAACTTTCTGAGTAGCTATCTTGCCACCCTGAGCTGTCCCGGTGTTGGTTCTAGCTACTGCTCCAGCCAAGAGATCACTGAACTCCTTTGTTTGTTCAGAAGTCCATAGCTTTCCTGCAGCCAGCAGGGCTGAAGCTCCATTTGCATCCACGGAGGCAAGGTTCTTCACCCACTGGCAGAGGGCTTTTGCTTGCACCTCTCTAACACTGTCATAGTTCGGGAGTGCAGTCATGGACTGGAGAAAATTGGCTGTAGCAGCAAAATCCCCCTCCAACTGATCCATGGCTGTGGCAGCAGACATGTCGATCTGTTTGCGAGCTTGTAGCCCTGCAACCGATCTTTGCAATCAATCCTTCTGAGCCTTGCTTGGACGTATCGGCGTGGCAAGCAGACAGGCAGGGTGATAAATCAGCCATTTGGCAAGTCATACGGCGCCTGGCGCCGAAAACGGCCAAAGTCCGCGTTCAACTCCGGGGCACCAAGGGTGAGCTGCTATCCAAGCAGGAGGAGGCCAGTCGCTCTTCATCGGAGGAGTCCCCTGCCCTTGGCCAGCCATGCGCCTCCACGCCCACGCCCACCCTGACTTGCGAGGACCATGCTCCTGAGCAGTGCCTCCCCTTCACCGGCCCCCTCTGAGGATGGCCGCCCCCTGCACGAACTGCGCCCTGCACCTACACCAGTGCCAACCCACAAGCCAACGAGTCAACCTGTCAGTGAAACCGAGCTCTTTTTGGCGTTGGACACCTTCCCGGCTAGGAAGGCCACGCCACAGCATCTTGCGCAGCTCCTGTTGTGGCACCTTGGCAAGGCCGCGGTGGTACCGCATCTTGCGGCTCTCTGTGACAATGTCTGGGCGCAGCCAGGTACTTTCTACCAGCTCTGGGCTGTGCATGGGTGGCCTGGCTCCCGAAGCCAGGGAAACCCCCGGACCAGCCTGAGAACCTGAGACCCATCGCATTAACTGAGGGAGGGGGCCGGATTGTTGTCAAAGCCTTAACCATGCGTTTTCGCCGAAGCCACTAAACTGTGGCCCCAGTACGCTTGCACTTCTGGCAGAAGCATCGACCACGCAGTCATACGTGCCTTGCATCACTGCTCTCAGGTCCAACAAACCCTGGCCTCACAGCATCTTACGCTGCGGGAGCGTCGCAACACCGGCCGGAAGCCTACATCCTGTCAAGGGGGAGTCACGCTCTCCATTGATACGAGCAAGGCGTTTGACACTGTCAATCGACAGGTCCTCGAGCACGAACTGCGAGCGGCCCATGTACCGGAGCCGGAGCTGGATATCATTCTCCACCTCCACCACTGCATCGGCTACTGGCCGGCGGGCCAGGACCCCACAACCCGGGTCGCTAGTGAGAGGGGTGTGCGGCAGGGCTGTCCGCTAGCACCAAGCTTGTGGACCCTCATCACTGTTGCACTGTTTCGGGCGCTAGCAGGAGTTACTTCCGTTACTTGGCTTCAGGAGGACGCAACTATGTATGCGGATGACCTGTTATTGCAATGGGTTTTCCACCGTGTGCAGGACCTGGAGCATATGGTAAGCACCATCGAGCAATGCTTTCGGATCCTAGCTCAGCTCGGCCTTCAAGTCCAGCATCGGAAAATGCAACTCATCGTGGCGTATAAAGGACGACAAGCCAAACAATGGTGGCGCGCTCACACGGCCTCCACTTCGGAGGGCCGCTCCCTGCTTATACCCCAGCCTGGACGCAAGGCGCTCCGCCTGCCCATTGTTACGCAGCTGACGTACCTAGGCATAGTTCTTTCTTATGTAGATGCCACAACTGCCACAGTCGAGCACCGTCTGCAGGTTGCCGAGGCGCAGCGAGCCCGCCTTCTCAAAGTTCTTCATTCCCGCACACTCCCTCTGACTAAGCGGGTGCAGCTCTGGCTGGCTTGCGTCCGGAGCTTTGCCTTGTATGGTCTACATCTTGTGGACTTGCAGCAGAGGCGTGTTGCGCGTATCACTGTTACCTTGGTCAGGCACTTGCGGGCAATTGCGCGCAGCTTTGCGCGCATGACTCAGGAGTCCAGCAAAGCGTTGCTGGAACGCCATAAACATTGAGGACCCGCTGCTTTACCTGCTTGCTAAGACTCGGGATTCCAGCGATCCTATGGTAGCCAGGCCTAGGATTGTGAACTGGCTTGTCCATGTCACCGAATCTAAGCTGGCACTGACCTCACACCTTGACCAGGCAACGGCCGGGCCCTCCGCCTCCGCTCCGCCGTCTCAGAACACGGATTTCCAGACTGTGGAGACCGCGGTTACGTCTCCTCCGCCTCTGCCCGGCCCCCTTCAGGGGAACCCAAGTCGCTGGTAAATACGGCCCCAGAGACACTCGCTTCTCCTGCCCTACATGTGACCTATGGTTTCCGGACTTAGCGACTCTCAAAAGGCACCACAGTCAATTTCATGAGACCCCCCTACCTAATCCCCTTCTTCAGATGGATGCCGCAGAGGTACGCAAACACAGCGTTGATGGGATGCCAGTTTGTGTACATTGTCGCAAGGACTTCACCACCTGGTACAATTTTAGGAGACACATCACGCAGGGACACTGTACCAGTCATCGACAGATGTCTGACCCCTCCCTGGTGGTGCCGTCGACGGCTACACTTCCCGGTTCACCTGATGGACTTAGAAGCCACTCCAGCCAAGTTTCAGCACCCAGAGGGCAAAGGCCCCCCGGCGAACCGGAGCAGCGGCACACGCCAGCAACAGCAGCCGTCGACAGGACGCGGCGGACGCCGGGGCCGCGATGTCCCGGACAATCGCAGCGGACCCTCCAAGATGCCTTCGGAAGATCACGCACTGCTCCACCGCGTTGCCAAGGCCCTCATCGTTCAAGCGGACTATACCTGTCGCGCCTTCAGAGCGATCACACCGTCATCTTCACGTTTCGGACGGGCAACGGCCCACAGCTGATGGTGCCGCTTCTTCAGGAGGTCGCGGCCACCTGGCGCGAGCAATGTCAGCAGAACAAGGTGACCCGATCCCTCAAACAGACTCTCATTCAATATCTTGCAGCGGAGATCGTCACCAGGGTCACTGCCTTCGCGACCGACAAGGAGTCCCAGGCGAAGGCCCAAGAACTGGGGTGGATTACGTCAGAAATGGAATACAATGTCTTGGACTGGGCTTCGAGGAGAAGAAGCTCGTCCCCCGACAGGCGGAGACGCTCACCCAGGACCAGATTCTAGCGGACGCCAGGCGGCTCAAGACCTTGTTGAAGCATCCGGATGCGCAACGCCAAGCCCGACTCGACGTCAGAAACAGCGACGTTTGTGTTGGAACTGTCCATGCAGCTGCCCGAGGCCGCGGAGGCGATGGCGATCTTCCGAAAATGGTATGCCAACTCAGCGCTCCTGCTGCTGTCCCTCCGCCTCAAGCCGGCCCGCCCGGAGCGGTCGCCGCTGATCAAAGAGATTCAGGAAGCTGTGGGATGGTAAACGGCCAGAGGCTCAGCTCAGTGCACATTCCCGCTGCATTGCTGCGACTTGTGCTGCACAATCCCGACAATCTTTGCTACTTGCATGCTACCGCCCACATCCTAGCTTTCGTTCAAAATCAAGTCGGGTCAGGCCTCCCCTTAGCTCGTGCCGCATCTCTTGAGCAGTCCTTGCAAAGTCTGTTAGGTCATACTAGTGCTGGCCGTAGTGATCAAGTCACCATCCTTGACTTTCCCGGGTGGAGCTTCCTTCTCCAGAACTGGACCAATCTGCATTGTCAGCAAGATTGTCTCGAGCTCATTCATCATTTACTTGACCCGCACTGCCCCGAGTACCTGCACTGCCAGTGGGAGGCCAGGCCGTTACCTGGTACTATAGCTGCACGTCGGCCTCTCATTTGAGGCCTATACAGCGTAGACCTCCCTCTCCCTAGGAAAGCCTCTAGCATAACCATGCAGGAATGCATTACCGGTTGGCACGAGCAACGAATCCCGCGCGGTCTCCTGCATGCACCGCCGTTTCTGCTTGTTAGCCTGGCTCACTACGCCAACCCAGCAAAAGGCAAGAACAAAACGCGTATACCATGCAAGGCTATGCAACGTGCCAGCTTTCCCATTTTTCGAGGCCCGGGACATGAGATCCGCGGGGCTGCTTATGAGCTGGTGGCTGGGATTCTACACCTGGGGTCATCACCCCAGCAAGGCCACTATCGTGCTTTTCTTGCGCATCCACGTGATGTCCGCGCTGATGCATCCCAGGTGCTTGCTGCTTCTTTCAGTGAGAGTGGCATCGCGCCTGCAGGTGGCACGGGGCTTTCGGCCCCCACGGGGAGGCCGCCGGCCCCCCTCGGGAAGCCCGACCTACACCTGGTGGTGTACGGACGATGATCAACCGCCTGAGATGTGTCATCCCACATATGCTCGGGTCCTGAGTGAGAATTGCTATATTCTCTGTTTTCGTTTCACACAACTCTGATCTGTATAGCAAGTGATGCCGGTTCTAGTTAATCTTAGTCTGAGACTGTGTACTGCTGATTGCGGTCCGGTCTTGAGCTCTGTTTCAGCTGTTTCGTTGAGCTGAATGTTGTGTTAGGCGATGTCAATCCACAGCTCTTGTTAGCCGCGCTGAATTCATTCCTGAATTCGGCGTGTCGCCTACGCCGCGCAACGCCATGCAAGGGACCAGGGAACGGTTCTGCGATCGCCGATCGCAAAGTCTGTCTCTCTCTCTCTCTCTCTCTCTCTCTCTCTCTCTCTCTCTCTCTCTCTCTCTCTCTCTCTCTCTCTCTCTCTCTCTCTCTCTCTCTCTCTCTCTCTTCTCTCTCTCTCTCTCTCTCTCTCTCTCTCTCTCTCTCTCTCTCTCTCTCTCCTCTCTCTCCTCTCTCTCTCTCTCTCTCTCTCTCTCTCTCTCTCTCTCTCTCTCTCTCTCTCTCTCTCTCTCTCTCTCTCTCTCTCTCTCTCTCTCTCTCTCTCTCTCTCTCCCCTGCTTTTGCTTTTCCTTCTCCAAAGTCCCAAAGTATAATATATTCATACACATATATATATATATATACATATATATATATATATCTGTGTATATTAGTTCCGTATACAGACTATACATATATACATATATACATATATATATATATATATATATATATATCTGTGTATAATAGTTCCGTATACAGACTATACACCCGGACATGCTTTGAAGTTGTTCGCTCTGTGGTTCACTATCACCTGTCTCATGTGTGGTGCACTGTCACCTGTCTCATGTGTGGTGTGCCGGCATCCTCACTTCGTTTCCTTTTTCTTTTGCAGCCGAATCTAAACTCCATGTTCCTTCCCTCGTGCAATCGTCCTTTTCTGCAGTCACCATCCCCTCCGGCCCCATAAAAGCCGCCTCAGCCATGCTATGTATCTATGGTTCTCTGACTGCTTCCCTCCTTCTCCTGCCTCGATCCCTCCCATGCCTGCCTGGTTTGTCTGAATGCATGTCTGTTGTGCATGTCTATGTACTTCCTGTTTATTGGTTTGGGCACATGTGTCAATACATGACGGTCATGCATGCCTCTGTCTCTTTGTCTGTCTCGTCTCGATCGCAAGACACCAAGAGAACATGAAAACACAAAGCCAAGACACATGACACTCACAGAGAGAGACACAGAAGCAGTCCCACAGTGCACAAAGACAGGCGCATGCATGCAGCCACAGCGAGACACCGACACAGCAATGGCGAGACACAAAGACAGCACCAATATAGATACACACGAAAGCACAGCAACAGAAGCACAACAAGAACACACATGCACATCACGTAGGACCGCACGTGCAGAAATGGTGACCACTTGTACCGAGAAATATGCCACATCCGGTAACAAGGGCTGACGACGTCATTGTTGTGTCTTTGTGTCTTCGTTGGCTGTGTGCCGAATGTCATTGCTTGTTTTGCAAACCAGAGAAGCAACAATGAAACAAGCGAGCAACCAAGAAACTCATAGAGATTTGTATATATATATATACACATAAATATCCATATATATATATATATGTATATATATATATATATATATATATATATTTCTGTATTCATCCTATATACATGTATAAACAGTATTCAGCATATGTTTATTGTGGCAACCATCTACAACTCACATCTATAGTGCATATATATGTATATATATATATGTACGTATACACATGTATGTTTATATACATACACATATATATATATATATACATATGTGTATGCACGTATAGTTGTATATGTATGTATTTATGTATGTTTGTATGTATATATATATATATATATATATATATTTATAGATATTTAGAGCTTATGTCTACAATGCATATATATATATATATATATGTATCTGTATATGTATATGTGTATATGTATGTATGCATGTGTGTATATATAGTGTTAGTATATGTATAAGAACAGAAAGGATGTAATAAAGAGTGATATAGAGTCTGAGAGAGTGAGAGAGACGGGGGGCGATTGCACAGTTGCAGGTTAGCTTGCACGCTAATGTTTATAGTTCTGTGCCCTCTGCTGTTTTCTCTCGTTGTTTGTTTCTTCTGCCCTCACTGCAATGCACAGCATGCAGCACAAGGAAATCGCCAAAGCAGGGCAGTGCATGCTCGCCGGCGGACATCCCGAGTCTTTTGCAGTCGGACTCGCGACACGGCTTCTGCTCGCGGAGGGCTGGACCCGGGGCCAATTTCGGCTAGTCCACAGCAAAAGGAGCCCACCCAGACCAAGAGACGGGCTGGCACATGTATATGTGTCAAAAGTTTAAATGCCAGTGCTTCTGTGGCAGAGAACACGTACCGTGCCCATTGATATAGGTTTTCAGTGTATGCGTGTATGTGTATATGTAGATATTATGTAAATATATTGAGGCTAGAGCCAGGAAGACATGTTCCTTGCAGCAGCCACAAGCCGAGGCCTGAAGGACCCTAAAGTATCAGGCCACCTACATTGCAGGTCTACATAGAAGCCCACAGCACAGTCTCGGTCCAGGCTCCAACCCGGCAGAGCTCAGCAGCTAGCAGCACCAGGAAGAAGACGGAAGAAGCCACAGGGCCAGGACCTGCACAAGCATGCAGGCTTCATCAATGCCCATGGTGCCCAACATTTGGTGTCTGAGAACCAAGCAGAAAAGATGCAAAACTTGAATCCCAGGCACCTGCAATCTGGAAAGAAGCCGGTCTAAGGAAACGGGAAGGCAGCCGTGATGTTGCTGTTGAGTCATTGAACACCCACTCCAGGGGCCCGGCCCGATAGCCCAACCCGGCCAGTGTACAGCCAGGCTTGCTGATTTTGGGGCACAAGGGCCCGGGAACCTCGAAACCCAGTTTTTTTATAGATCGATATTCCTGGTTTGGCCTCGGCGGCCACTTTTTTATAGATCTATATCCTGTGGGTTTCCCCGGCCAGGCCAGAAATATAGATCGATATTGGCGGGCCATTCCCACCACCCCGCCTTTATAGATCGATATGTCTGCGGTCACCCCGGCCACCCAACCCATATAGATCGATAAAAGTGCCTGTTGGCCCATATATCCAGTGTGCATGTCGGTGCCAGGGGTATGGTGGGTGGTGGTTCCGGTGGGGCACATGGCATCATTTGCAAAGCCATGAAAGCTTGCCTCACTTGGGCTTCTGCTGCATCGCGAAGGAGAGCAGCTCCCTCTGGAACTGGGTCTGCAGCACGGAAACACTTATGCTCGGAGCCACAAGCCACTGCTGATTTCAGGAGCCCGCCTGCTCTCGAACTGTTGCAACACTGTCCGATGCCAGGGCAATTGCAGCAGGAGCGGCTCTTGCCAATTGAACCTGCTGGCCGCGCGAGTTCGGCTTCGGGTCCTGCAGCATGCACAATACATTGTCGCTGTGCACAAACCTCGACCTACAGCCCACCTTCCGGCCCCCGGCGGCCACCACGTGCCCTCCGAGTCGACGAAGCCGGAGAGCTGGATGCCTGCACCTTTGGCCTTTGGCGCCCGTGGCTGCCCACAGGGCCTTCACCTGCAAGCTTCATGGGTGCTTCCCTCTGCTCGCGGGCCAATGGCCTTGCGAGACGAGTTTGGCACCACAAACTGCCCGGCCTTCTAGAGCTGCTGCCCTTTGGATCCGGAGCCCTCGTGCATCCAAGTCGGTGGCCAACAGAAAAAATGCATCAAACCAAAGTAGCTGGGGCCCTGTCCCTGCCCCACTGCTGGATCGCGGCAGCATTGGGCAAAGCCACAGCCTTTCAGCTGCCCGGAACCACGACAAATCCTAAATCCTAAGCCCAAACACCAAACCCTATTATATATATATATATATAAATATACACTGCCTTGTGCATATATGTGACTATATACTACTTCGCCTGCAGGGCTGTCAGCTCGCAGGCAGGATTGCGTGTTGAATGTCCACTATGTAGAAAGTATATGTGCGTATATTAGGATGTCTTTCTATTATGTATGTATGTATGTGTGTATGTATGTATGTATGTATGTATGTAT